CTGCGGAGCCGGATCTCCTCCCTCTGTCGCGGTGCTTGCACCATCAGCACGAACTCGGCTTCGCTCCCTTCTCCCTCTTCTTCCTTCGCGAGCATAGCCGGCTCTCTCCATGCACCGCCCTCCAGCTCTCGAATCCTTGCCTGTAGGTGCTGAAGCTGATTCTCCAGATCTTCTTTGCTCCTCGGTCCTGCCGAGCCGGGCCGGCGACTGTAGCAATCCTGTGTGCGATGCCCGCGTCTCCCGCAATTCCCGCAGCTAGGGATTTCGGGGCAGTCTCGGCGGAGGTGTCCCTCCTCTTGGCAGTGATCGCACTTCGGTGGCCTGCTGCAGTCCTTCTGCAGATGCCCCTCCTGGCCACACCGGTGACACTTGCGCGTCTCGGTCTCGCGCCCCGTCCTCCTGCCGGGAATTTCCCCCGTTGAAACGGCCGACCACGCGGGCCTGCGCCGCTCCTCCGGTTGCATCCCTCCCCTCTCCATTTCGTACAGCCGCAGACCCATCTCTTGCTTCTTGGCCAGCTCGTACGCGTGTTCCAGTGTGGCCGCCGGTCCCATCTCGAAGACTCTCCCTCGTACTTCACTTGCCACCCTTTCGTCCAAGCTGTTTAGGAATTTCGTCACGAGCCTCCATTCGTCGCGACACTCCATGCCTGAGGCTAGCTCCCGCAGTCGGCCATAGGTTGCCAGCAAGGACTCTCCAGGCTTCTTCCGAAATGATGCGAACTCTTTCATCCGCTCAGGTGTCTGCACTGGGAAGTGTCAGCGAAGCGTCGCGAAGAACTGCGTCACCACTTCCCACGTGACCCCAGCTGCCAGCACCGATTCGCTGAGCATGCGCTCCAATTCCATGCCGTAAGCCGTCTCCGCTTCTCCCGTGACCGTGTTCGAAAGTCCTCGGAATAAGTCTTCGGGCTCCAGCCCATCCTTCATCCAGCGGTATTGCGCGTTGCGGATCTGCATCATGTAGTTCTTAAGGCTGCTTCCCACGCCCAGAGTGCCTGCAAACCGTTCCGGCACCTCGATCTTTGGCAGCGCCGCATACCGCACAGGCGGGCGCGTGACCTCGGTGTTGTGATGTTCTGAGAGGGAGAATCTCCTGGTCTGTCGGAGCAGCTCGCCTTCCGCACTCGTGCCTTGTGCGGCATCTCCGCTCCGCGGCGGCTCAACGGTCTCACCCACTTCTGCGAGGGGTCTAGTGGACGAGCTGTGAAAGGCGTCAAGCCCCCCGGTCGGCAGGTCACTCATGCTGTGCCTCCGATGCGGCGCCGTGTACGCTTCTCTCGTCGGCGCGCCTCCGGATCCTCCTGCTTGCATGCCGACGGTCTCTCCCGCCGCGTCTCCTGCTCGCCATCCTGGAGTCGCCATCACCGGCGGATCCGGAGGCAATTCGTATCGTCTTCCAGAGCGTAGCTGCATTCACCGCTGTGTCCTATCTTGTGGTGAGATTTCCTTCGTCGTATGTCAGAAAACCTCACTAACCCATCTAGGCCGACTAGCTGGCTCCTGCTATTCTTGATTCTACCCGTGTTGGTTTAAAAGGATTACATTGAGAAAAAGCAGGAAACATACGATGAAGCACCTAGCACTAGGGCGCAGTATCTCTATGTACAAGATGAGATTGACTGCCCTAGCCTAGTGCTTCTGCGGAAAGGACAGACAGAGATCAGGCGTGAGCGAGGCTCGGGCTTCCCGAGTCGTATGTACAAGCCGCTGGCGGTTTGGGGCTGCATGTGGTTTGGCACCAGAAACTGTGCCAGCTGCCCGGTTGTCTCGCACGTGCACTTGCAGCCCTCGCCACCTGTCGGCCGTGCTGCTCGTATCCTCGTTAGCAGCGCTCGCCCTGCCACAACACAGAACAGCATTCATACAAAGAAAACACGCAAAACCCCCCCCAAAACCCTCTCCCGACATTCACTTGCTCAAGGCTCGTCCTCGCTATGGTACAAAATATGTACACCGCAGCCCGTTCGTCTGCTGCTCCTTGTTCCGCTTACACTTGCCCCAATGAAACTCATCTCACCGATTTGTCATGCACACGCCTTATGCCACAGCTGCTGTCTCGGCATAATGTTGCCCTCCATGGTCTACATAATACCGCGACAGGGTTAAGATAGCAGAATTGAAGTGAGCGATGAAGAATGAGCTCCTACACTGGCCCTAAGGCCTTTATACTACCTAGCAGAGGGTTAGAGAGGGCTAGAGAGACTAAGGACTAGATCCAGAGCCTCCCTCTCTCTCTCTCTCTCTCTCTCTCTCTCTCTCTCTCTCTCTCTCTCTCTCTCTCTCTCTCTCTCTCTCTCTCTCTCTCTCAAGCAGTCCTGTATTGATAATGGTCATAGGATACAAGCATGGCATTATTAGTTTGGCATACATGCTGTCCTAGAAGCATAGGCAATCCTGGCGTGCATTGCTTGTACTATTCCTACCTTCCTTGGTACATGGCTGCCTAGGCATGCAAGCACCTATCACTAGGCCCCCATGGTGGCTTAGGCGGCCTTGGTCTTGCCCCGGCTCCTTCTCTCCAGCCTTCTAGACTCCCAGGTCCCACACTTCCTCCACCTCATCTTCCAGGACCTGCCATATGTCCCCCAGGCCTGGCTCCCAAGGGCCAGCCCAGGCCTGGGGGTATGCTGCCTCCGCCGCCCTGTTGGACTTTGCCAGCATGGCGTTGGCTTGGCAGCGCTGCAGCATTACCGACCAGCGTTGTCGGTAGTGCGCAGTCAGCCTGGAGGCCACCGTGGTGAGCCTCCCTTGGCGGTGCTTCTTCTTGGCCGCACTCGTGCCTAAAATGCGGAAGAATTTCTGTGTGTCTCTCGCTAGTCCCCCGTAGGTTTCCACGGCCAGGCCCAGGACCCCCGCGAACTCGGGGCGCTCCTCATACAGCCCCCTTTTGGTCCTGGCAGCGTCCTCTACTGCCCACCCTGGCGCCTTTCTCCCTTGGGTGTCCCGCCTCTGCAGCACTGGGTCGGTCACCGTCACGTCTGTGAGGTAGGTTTCATACGACTCCCTGTCACGGAAGACCAGGTCCGCCCGTTTAGGGTTGACTGGGGGCGAAAATCCTGTCGTCTCGTGCAAGGTAGTGAAATCCGCCTCACGTGCCATGCGTAGTGCCGCATACACCAGCGCGTTGTGGGTGTTGGTGCGGTCCCCCCCATCCGCGCATCTCAGCAGGTGATTCGGCAGGCTGCTGTCTGCTATCTTGGAGCGCCTGCCGCGGCAGGGACAGTTTTCTGTGACTGGAAGGGAAAGGCCGAGCCTGAAGCCTAGGGCTATGGCGAATTGCCCGGGCGATAAGGTGAGGTCCGCTCGCGTGGGTATGGCATGCAGCCACTCTCCTGCCCCCGGCGCATGCAAGGCTATGAGCCGCACCACGTGCCCGTTATCCTCGCCCGGCTTGTCTACCCGGGTGTCCCCTATCAGCTCCGCTGCCCTGTCCAAGCTGACCTCGCGGGATAGCCCCAACTGCAGCCGCCCTTTCCCCCCCTTCTGACGGTGGTGCTGATGTAGGAGTTCTAGTGCCCTTTCTGGTAGCTTGCTTCTAAGGTCCTGCAGGGTCTCCCCTCCCCGTGCCGACACCTCGATGCGTTCTGTAGATACCAGGTCTACAGCCTGCCACAGGGGGTGATCTGGGTGCTCAGGGAGGCCACTCAGTAGGGTGTGGGCCGCGCATAGGGATGCCAGGTAGGCTGCGGGTGCTTCCGAGACCGGATCTATGAGGCCTAGCCCGCCAAAGGCATACTGGAAGGGTCGCCTGCCTCCACACTAGGCTCTGTTTGATCTCCTTCCTCGGCACGTGCAGGTGTGCCGCTTTGAGCGCCGTCCACACCACTCCTTCGCTCCACTCCCGCCACTCTTCTAAGGGCAACATGTCTGCCGGTGTTGTCCGAAGCAGATATTAGATACGCCTGGATACGCAGCGTGACAGCAACAGTAGGGCGTGCTGCGGGTGGATGCTGCTGATAAGGTCTAGGGGGGCCGCCACCGCGTCTAGGGAAGGTGTGATCATGCGCCTCCCGTATTCCCTTGTCCCTATGGGGCTCCCTAGGACGCGTATGCCGTCTACTGCTGCTACCAGGCCGTCAGGAAGGTCGTCCGGTATGCCTGATGGGCTCCAAGCAGATGATTTCGCGAGGTTGCATTTGAGGCCGCGGCCAGCGAGTTGCCTGGTGATGATCCCCAAGGTGAGTGCCGCTTCCTACGCCGTCCCCACGATTGTAATGTCCTCCGCGTAGGCCACGACCGTGACCGACGGGAAGATGTCAGACGCCACCTGAAGCGCCGGTTGAATAGCTGCCGCGAAAAGCATGGGGCCTAATGGATCTCCTTGACGGACCCCGCGCGCGCTCTCGATGTGTGGTGCCGCGAAGCCGTGATCCAGTCGTAGGCAGGAGGGTGTGCTGTACAGCGTGCACACTAGTGGTATGACGCGGCTGAGTCCAGAGAAATGCAGTGATTCGAAAAAACCGGCGCGTTCAACCGAGTTAAAGGCGTTTTCGATATCTAACTGCAGCGCCACTCACTTCGGATCCTCTGCTAAGAGCGCCCGCACCGTGTGAATAATACATTCGGCGCCTCCAGGTACTGCCACTCCAAATTGTACCGGGAGGAAGTATTCTCGGATGGGCGTGCTTAGTTCCCTAAGCGCTGCCTTAGCTGTGAGTCGTAGTATCGCTTCTCCTATGGCTATGGGTCTGACACCTCCGTCCGGTTTCTCCAGGGCTACTAGTCTAGATGGTAGCAAAAGCTCCGTCAGTTCCGCTGGCAGGTGGGTGCTAAGGACGTGGTTGACGACGCCGTGCAGGTAAGAGAATACTTCATTGTTGGTGAGCCCGGGGTCTCGGAGGTGCTCGAAGCAGGTGCCTGAGGGTCCCGCTCCAATTCCGTTGGGGCATTTCGCCAGTACTTCGCGAAAGGTCTCTGCTGACGTTGCGAGGTTGCTGGAGGCAAATCCTGTTACCCAGTTTGGGATTTCGCTCCCTGCCCCAGGGTGCTTCGCTTTTAATGCTTCCAGGGTCGCATTTGATGGTTCTGCAAGTGGCGAAATTTGTAACGCTGCCGCTGCTTTTGCCAGATTCGCCTTGCGCACGAGCCCCTCCGCCCTCGGGCAGATGCCCTCTGGGTCCGGCTGGTGACGACTCGGTTGGGAGTTCTGGGGTATGGTGCAGGCCTGGGAGTACAGTAAGTCCCACTTTTCCAACTTGAACTGGTCCAGCCTTGTCGCCACCTCACTCCACCTGTTTCCAGGTGCGTTCCCAATGTTAGCTCTCAGTGTGAGTCGGGGCAGGAATAGCAACACTCGCTAGGCTCCTTGGCAGGTCGGGTTCTTGGAAAGCCGCAGCAGGGGAATCATGAGGCAGTAGCTGTAGATTCCGAGAATGTTGGGGGGAAGCTTCCGACCTAGGAAGGGCTGGGCACTGTTGCGTAGAGGTGACAGGTCCCACTCCTTCACCTTCTGCCACGTGGCCTCGTCATCCGCGATATCTGCCGCTAAGCGCTCTCTATTTGCTGCCCTCGCGCTAGCCTGTGCACTTGATTCGGCCTCCTAGGCTGGTTGTGGGTCACGCAGCCTCCTCTGTCCCTGGTTTGTGCCTGTATTCGGGATCCCCTCCTCTGCGTCGAGGGAGACATCTTCAGAATCCCTCTCCTCCGATTCAATATATTCCCCATCACTTCCTTCATCCTCACCCCTCATTGGGTTTGCGTTCTGTCTTGTGCCAGTCCGATCCGGCCTTCCGTGTCTTTCCCGCCAGTCCCCCGATCTGGCCTTTTCCCTTGCTACCGCTCGTACCAAGTTTCCCAGGCCTCCTCTCCTGCCTCGGCCCCTCCCTCGCACTCCTCGCGCTGCCGCCTCAGGCGCCACGGTTTCCGGCGGTCGACCTTCAGCTCTCCGGTTGGCCTGCTCCCGCAGGGCCAGCTGCCGGTCCGTTCCCCCTTGGTGGCGGCCGCGTCTCGCCGCGGCCCTCCTCTCCTCTGCATCTTCGGCGGCGCTCTCCCTCTCCTCCTGCGTCTCCGCCTCTTCTTCCGCGATCTCCAGCGGTGATGACTGGTCGGCGCCGCCCTCCACCTCGACGACTGCCTGGGGCGGATCTGCTTGATGCGTCCAACCCACAAGGGGCCCAGGTCGGGCGGGTGCCAGCCCTTCTCCGAGCCGCCGCTGATGTTGTTGCGGCAGCGGCTTCTGGCGGCGGTTCCTCTCAGGCACGTGGCGGTTCGTCTGCGCCTCGTGAGCCGATTTATCGGTCTCCCCGCGGGCGGACTCATCCGCATCTAAGGGCTCGGGGTCAATCCTCCCGCCGCCGCCGCCCTCCCTGGCCATCTCCGTCGCTTGCCCTGCAGTCGGCGCGATCCTTGGTTCAGGCCCCACGGTCGCAGGTGCCACTGGCGCCTCACTTGAAACCATCGACGCAGCCCCTGCCGCCTCGACCGTTGCCGTCGCTGGCTTCTTCTTCGTCACAGCAGCAGCCTTTGTCTGCGCCGGCGGCCCTGTTATCCTCCCCCTCGGTGGCGCCGCCCGGGGCTGAGCCGGTGGCGCCGTCTGCGTCTTCCGGCCCGAGTTGCTTGCCGCCGCAGCCGCCGCCGACGTGGGCCTCTCTTCTAGCGCCTCAGACGCCGCAGGCCCAGCTGCAGGTCTCTCAGTGTCAGCCGAGTCCTTCTCTGCCGCCGCTAACCCCTCATCCTCCGCAGATTCAGCCGCCTCCTGCGGCTCAGCAGCCGTCTCTGCCGCCGGTTCCCCACCCACCGGTTCCTCCGCCTCAGGGTCCTCCCTCTCAGCCGACGCAGGCCTCCCTATGTCCTCCGTCTACCCTCCCTCAATCTCAGCCGCCCTTGCAGCCTCCTGTGGTGCCGCTGCCGCCCCCCCCTGTGGGGCCTCAGTCTCTGCCGCTGCCGGTACCTTCTCCCCTCCCCCCTCCTCCTCCTCCCCGTTTATCGCCATCGGCGTCTCCTGGTCCGCCTGCTGATCCCTGGGGGGTGTCGTGGTCTCGTCGCCCGCGTGATGGTGGTTGGGGCCCTCCCTGGTGCGCTTCTCCTGCTGCGGTGGCGTATCCCGCCCCTGATTCGCGGCTGTTGCAGTTTTGCCGTTGTGTGGCTGGCGTGGCTGCTGTGTTGGAGCAGCTCCATCATGCTCTTCAGACGCGGGAGATTGTCCAGCGCGATCCCGAATTTGGCGAGCTGCAGCTGGCGCACGTGCGCGCGGCGGTGGCTGGCGCACTGTGGGAGGTGTTGCGTTTGCTGCTAGAGCCTGTGGATCGTGTACTGGACGAAGGTCCTGGCGCCGCGGCCTTCCGGAGGGTAGCCAAGGCTGATGAGTCGGCGCCTTTGGAGGTGGTCCCTGCGATCTCGTCCTTGCTCCGCTGGCTTGAGCAACGGGTGCGTCAGGTTTAGGCGGCTTCGCCTTTGTCACCTTGGTTGTGGGCTTTTTCCTCCCCGTGACTGGGGGCGTGCCTGTCGTGTGACTCTGGGCCGCCTTAGTTGAGCCTTTTTGTAATGTATGCCATTGTTTAACGTTGCTCTTGTCCCCTTGTACTTGCCTCCCCTCACACGCGGCCGAAGGCGCGAGCCGCTGGGTTGGGAGAAACCAAGCTCACCAGAGAATAATGGCAGGAATGAGGCAGTAGGGGAGGCTATATGTGTTAATGTACTCCTTATAGGCTTGCTGCAAGGAATACACTAGGGACAGGAGGCTAAGAAAGCCTTAAATCTATGCTATGCTAAGGCTAAGCTAAGCTAGAGAGCTTGGAGAGACTAAGGAAAGGGCCTAGTGCCTCTCTCTCTCTCTCTCTCTCTCTCTCTCTCTCTCTCTCTCTCTCTCTCTCTCTCTCTCTCTCTCTCTCTCTCTCTCTCTCTCTCAAGCAGTCATGCATTTATATGGGTCATAAAGGTACAGGCATGGCAAGTGGTGGTAACTGCCTTGACTAAACATGGAAGCAACCAGGGAACCAGAACTAACAGACAAACAGAGCAAGCCTGCCCAGCTGAAGCATACAGATCCCCTAGCACTCAGAGCAGCCCGGTCCACAGCAGCGCAGGTACCTGAGTACCCCACATTCCACCTATCCCTTATTCCTCATATACCCTAGGGCCACACCTTATCCCTCTTCACCCCCGCAGCTTCCTCACACCTTCCCTGAGGCGCCCTCTCTCTCTCTCTCTCTCTCTCTCTCTCTCTCTCTCTCTCTCTCTCTCTCTCTCTCTCTCTCTCTCTCTCTCTCTCTCTCTCTCTCTCTCTAATGGTCCTTGTATTGATATGGCAGCCAGGTACAAGCATGCAGTGTAAGGATGTAACAAACAAACAAACAAAGCACCAATCATACCCACTTTTCCCCTAGAGCTCCAGAAAGGGCTCTACCACAGCAAAACAGTCCCCTAGGTGTAACCCTTGACCAATACCCCCTACAGGCGGGTTCTCTGCTGCTGCTGCCTCGCCCAACTTGAGTAGAAGACCCACTGATTGGGCCCTTTGGAGGGCCACTGACCATCGCTGCCGAAACTGGTGCAGGAACTTGGCGGCATAAAAGGATTTGGAGTCGGCGTTAAAGTGGCGCCGAGCCGCCGTGTCTGCGAGGAGCTTCAGGAAGGTTGGTACTTCCGCGCATGGGCAACCATAGGTGTCGAATGCCAATGGGAAGAAGCCAACCGTCTCTGGCCGGTTGGCGTAATGCTGTATTTTCTTATCGGCTTGTTCCCGTGCCGCCCATCCCCTGCCTTTCTGCGCCTCTGGGTCTCTCGTGCTGATGGGGTCCGTGATGGTGACATCACAGACATAAACCGCCCCACTGCTTCTATCCGTCATTGTAAAGTCGGCGGTTTGGTCCTCGATAGGGCAATGGGCGGCCGACTCGCCGTGAACAATGAAACCTGCGTGCTGCGCCATGCTAATGCACGCATCCCGTAGCTCGTTGTGGGTGTTGATGCGGTGTTTGCCCAAACCGCAGCGGAGGAGATGGTTCGGTAGGCGGGGATCGGTGATGCCGGTCTTGTCCGCACAGTCGCAGTTCTTAGGGGTTGAAAAGGGGAGGGCCAGGCGGAATCGAACGGCGTTGGCGAAGTGTACGGGGCCTATCCGTATGGTGGGCTCAATGGGGATCGCGGTCAGCCAATCGCCGGTGCCATACCCGGTCAGCGAAAACATACGCTGCGTGTGGCCTGACAGTGGGTTCAACCGCATGCGCCTGGTTGCCTGGACCTGTACCGCATATCTGCTTCCGTGTACCTTTAGCCCGAGCACATGTTGCAGCCTAATATCCGATCGCTCCAGCCGCTCCTTCTCCAGGATCTCGCGCGCGTCTAGTGGCAGACCTGCTTCGCACTCCTTGAGCCAAGAATGCATCGGCGTGCTGTCATCTCTTGGCAGTAGCATGTGGTTCTGAGCGATCGTCAAGGCATTCTCCGGTGCTAGCGCCAGGGAGGACAAGAACAACGCCGCTTGGGTGAAACTTGCTGTAAAACCGTAGATTCCCTCAACGAGCGGGTCTGTAATGCCGATGCCTCCTAGCGATGTGGGCAGCGACGCCTGCTCCCACACACGTGCTTGCTCAGTGCGGCAAGTTGGCATGCGGATGTCGCAGGAGGTGAGTAAGGTAGTGAGCAGGTCCCGACCCCACTGGCTCCAGGTGTCGCGGGGGAGTAGGTGAAGCGGTGTTGTTCTAATGAGGTAGGCTACTCGTCTAGAAATGCATCACGTGAGTAGAAGCGCGGCTACTTGGGGGTCAGCTCGTTCTATTAGTGGCAGCGGCTTTGTCATTTTGGCTAACTGTTCGGTTAGGAACTTGGCTGCTCCGGCGTCTGTCCCCACGTAGCTACCAAGGAGTCGTACCCCGTCCGTTGAAATCGGCACCCTGGGTGGGAGTTGCGCTTGTGTGACTGTCCTCGAGCTCCAGACCGCACATTTCTGCGGATTATGCGTCAGGCCCAGGCGTGCCAGCTTGGCTGTGAAGTCTGTGAATGCTGCTACAGTGCCGCTGGGTTGGGAGAAACCAAGCTCACCAGAGAATAATGGCAGGAATGAGGCAGTAGGGGAGGCTATATGTGTTAATGTACTCCTTATAGGCTTGCTGCAAGGAATACACTAGGGACAGGAGGCTAAGAAAGCCTTAAATCTATGCTATGCTAAGGCTAAGCTAAGCTAGAGAGCTTGGAGAGACTAAGGAAAGGGCCTAGTGCCTCTCTCTCTCTCTCTCTCTCTCTCTCTCTCTCTCTCTCTCTCTCTCTCTCTCTCTCTCTCTCTCTCTCTCTCTCTCTCTCAAGCAGTCATGCATTTATATGGGTCATAAAGGTACAGGCATGGCAAGTGGTGGTAACTGCCTTGACTAAACATGGAAGCAACCAGGGAACCAGAACTAACAGACAAACAGAGCAAGCCTGCCCAGCTGAAGCATACAGATCCCCTAGCACTCAGAGCAGCCCGGTCCACAGCAGCGCAGGTACCTGAGTACCCCACATTCCACCTATCCCTTATTCCTCATATACCCTAGGGCCACACCTTATCCCTCTTCACCCCCGCAGCTTCCTCACACCTTCCCTGAGGCGCCCTCCCCGACCCAGCACAACCCCCCCTGCTTCTTACCGCACACATGTACCCCTCCCCTGCCGCCCCCCCTCCTCCCGTCATCAACTTCCTACCTTCCCAGCACCCTCAACCCCTCAGGCCGCCCTGGTAGGGGCGTGTCTCTCTTCGTACTCGTCCTCCAGGGTCTGCCATAGGTCACCTAGCCGAGGTGCCCAAGGGTCCGCCGCTGCCTGTGGGAAAGCCGCTTCCGCTGCTCGGTTTGACTTTGACAGGAGGGAGATCGCTTGGCTGCGCTGGAGCACCACGGACCACCGTTGCCTGAAGTGTGCATTGAGGCGGGCGGCGGTCGTCGTGAGGCGTCCCTTCCTGTATTTCGTCCTGGCGGCAGAGGTGGCTAGCAGGCGGATGAACTGTTGCGTGTCCTTAGCCAGAGCACCGTATGTCTCTACCGCTAGCCCAAAGAAGCCGGCATAGCTAGGGCGGCCCTCGTAGAGCCTGTGTTTACCCTCGGAGGCCTCCTCTGCTGCCCACCCCGGCGGCTTCCTGGCTCTTTTATCCCGCTTCTGCAGAACGGGGTCTGTAACTGTGACATCGGTTACCCACGTCTCCCCCGACTCCTGGTCCCGAATGGCCAGGTCTGCTCGCTTCCGGAGGACCGGGGGAGAGAATGCCGTGGTCTCATGGAACGTCTTGTAACCTGCATCCTTGGCCATTCGTGTTATGTGATGCTATCATTTGCATTCACGTCTGTCTGCCTCCCATCATGTGTTCGTGCGTTGCATGTGTGAAATGAGCGTGCGCAAGAATTTGTGTTTTTCTGTGGTTTGGATTTTCTGAGTATGTGTGAATGTTATTTGGCTTGAGCAGATATCTGAAGTGACTCCACTGCTCAAGATCTTTCCGACGAGCCAAGAATCGTCGCGATCGGAGCAATATCAAGAAAGTTACGAACGTTGGAGTTCGTATGCTTTCTGTACTTCGGTTGTGGCGACTATGGGAAGTTGTGGGGTTGACTCAATATGGGGTACAGACTTTTGGGGGTTGGGAATTCGAACCCATCACTGTAGAATGCTGCCATGTGGTTGGGTGAAGCCAAACCAGGTTGGCAAGTGTGGCCAAGTGGGTTGAGGTGGATGGCATGAGTTGGGAAAGTGACAAATGTGAAAGTGGGGTTGCCTATGGGGAAGGGAATTGTGTGGCATGGGGTTTCCTTGGTTGGGGAATCTCTTGGGACCTTCCCTCTCGTCCTCCTCTTCCCTCCTACCTGGTTTAGTGCTACTCTAACTCTCTTGTGTGTAACTTTGTGGAACTTGTGAGAACCATTGTGATTGAGTTAAGCATGTGGCAGCATACCCCCTAGTGCGCCGAAAATCATAACTCGAGATTTACTCCACCATTTGATACGATTCAAATTGGAAAAGATAGCCCTGGTTACAGGCTACAACATAATCGAGTTTGAGACAATTCCAACGGTGCAAGTTTAGCCGACGACGTTTCTTGTGAACTCGACGATTCTGTCCAGAATTTCAAGCCAACGATTTTGAGAAATTTAGGCTCCTAATCTTCATTGACTCCGTCCTTAGTCTCTAACAATTCGGAGTGCTGCAAAGACCAGAGCGTTGTGGGTCCTTACAACGTCACCACCATCCCCACACCGCAGGAGGTGGTTGGGGAGGCTCTTGTCGGAGATGGTCGAGTTATCCCGCTTGCAAGGGCACACCTCGGCGACCGGCAGCTCCATGCCCAAACGCAGGCCGAGGGCCATCGAGAATTGACCAGGGGATATGCTAAGGTCTCCTCTCGTTGGCATGGCATGGAGCCAGTCACCTGCACCCACCCCCTTTAGGCTGATGAGGCGGATGGCATGACCCCTGTCCTCCCCCGGCCGGTCCTGTAGGGTGTCCGCTAGTAGCTCCAAGGCCCGCCGCTGGTTGATAGACTTCGACAGCCCCAGCTGCAGGTTCCCTGTGCCTGGACTCCCCTCCCTGTACTGCTTCAGTGTTGCTCGGGCTTCAGCAGGGAGCGAACCTTCCATAGTGGCTCTGGGGTTGGACTCTGGTGGCGGTGGGACCCAATCGTGGGAGAGGAGCTGAGTCGCTCGGCTCAGGAGGCAGTCAGTTGGCAGGTCCAGTTGCCTCAGTAGGGTGTGTGCTGCCGCGACTGAAGCCAGGTAGGCAGCGGGTGCTTCAGAGATAGGGTCAATCACTCCGAGGCCACCTAGGCGGATAGGGAGTGTTCCCTGACGCCACAGCAGGCTCTGTTCAAGCTCGGAGGAGGGGATCCGAAGTTTCGCCGCAGTGAGTGCCGAGCCCAGGAGAGCCTCGCTCCACTCCCTCCACTCTCGCGTGCTTAGTGTTGATGCCGGAGTCGTCCGAAGCATATATGAGATCCGCCGAGAGATGCTGCGCGAGACCATGAGAAGCGCATGCTGCGGGTTTAGTTGCGAGATGAGGAGGAGTGGCGACGCCGCTTCTCCCAGTGCCGACCGCACGTGGTCAGTGCAGAAGCCCTCGTTCCCCACTGGACTGCCCAGCACTCTGATTCCTCCTTGGTTCATGGTCAGCCCGAGTGGCAGCTCCTCCTGCTGCCCGCCCGTGTTCCGTCCCCACGCTGATGATTTGTTTATGTTGCAGCGCAGTCCCACCGCTTTCAGAGCCGAGGCGATCGTGTTGAAGGCGGTGCAGGCAGCCTCCCGTGGGCCGACGATCGTGATGTCGTCTGC